CTGTTTGCAAGACTTACTGCCTTTTTTCTTTGAATCTCGAACTACTTTTTAGCCTCTACTGTGCTCTAGTGATGTTTCATGTTGTTCACTTTTCTACGGGCTCACAGAACATCAAAATGTTGTTGTTTTCATTCCTTTGCGTGGCCTGCCACCCTGCTCTCAAATAAATCAGACACAGAGGCTTATTCTTAATTATAAATGCCTGGCCGTAGCTTGGCTTGTTTCTTGCCAGCTTTTCTTAACTTTAAGTTATCCCATCTCCCTTTGCCTCTGTGCTCTTTCCTTTTCTTATGTCTGTATATCCTACTTTCACTCTTACTCCGTGGCTGGCTGGGTGGCTGGGTGGCTGGGTGGCTGGGTGGCTGGCCCCTAACATTTTTTCTCTCCTTGTTCTCTTGTTCTTTCTTCCTTTCCTTCCAGATTTCTCCTTCTATTTATTCTCTCTGCCAGCTAGCCCTGCCTATCCTTTCTCCTGCCTCGCTATTGGCCATTCAGTTTTTTATTAGACCATCAGGTGTTTTAGACAGGCAGAGTAACACAGCTTTACAGGGTTAAACAAATGCAACATAAAGGAATGCAACACATCTTTGCATCATTAAATAAATGTTTCACAGCACAAACAAATGTAACACATCTGAAATTAATACTCTACAACAGTTTCAGATACATGTCACTGTTCCTCATAAAGACGTTCTTCATTGCATGAAAACAGTGATTAATTTCCTGATGTCTGGCCCCCACCACTGTCTTTACTGCTGTTTTGTGACCAGCTATACAGTTGTATTTGTTGACACCGTGTTTTTCTTTTCACATGTTCTCCAAGCTCCCTGTTCATTTCTACTCTACCCCGACACACAGACTTTGTTTGAACTCCTGTCACCAGCCCCTATTTATGGAGGTGGTGGGGAGACCCAGGACTAATGCAGAGAAGCCCCTGCTCCTGAGGGGTTTATAGTGAGGTTGGGTGTGAAAATAAACAAATAAATGAAAGAAATTAGTTTATAGAACCAGTGAAGTGTGGTGAGGAGGGAAGGGCCAGACTATGCTTAGGAGGTTGCTGAGGTCCAGTTGTGTAGAGCCAGGGCCAGCTGAATGACCCGGGGATTGGCTGGGCAAGACCATGGGAGACGGAGAGAAGAGCAAAGATCAATATGGCTGCAGCAGGTGTAAGCACTGAGGAAGTGGAAAATGGCCCACCTGACTGAACAGAACTCAGCAGGCTCTGCAAGTACCCCTCAGTTCTGCACAGTCAGTGGGGACCAGCCCTGCCTGGAGCCCTTGCTCTCCCGGCCCACTCAGTGGCTGCCTGCCTACCTGCCTGCTTGAGGTGGACTGATATTGGGTACAAGCATTTTATCTGTGACTGAATATTTCTTTATTTCTCCTTCTTTGTTCTGCTTTCTCCCTCTCTCCCTCCTCACTGAGAAAATACCCTCAAGAAGGTGGGTGGAGTAGTGTCTTGGTTTAGCCCGGATTAGGAAACTCTGACTCGAGGTGTATGAAAGGCAGCACTGTTGAGCATGTACATGTGCATAAGCCGGGACACAGCTTCCTCCCCTCCAGCTGCCTCCCCTCTCTGTCTGTCTGTCTGTTGTTGTTTATGACCCCACTTTCTCCCTGTCATACTGGAAGTCCAGAACTGCCCTAGGGTTTCATCTTTTTATGAGGCCCCCTGTTCACTCACTCAACAGGTAAATAACACACTTCTTTATCTCCCTGTCCCTAATTCCACTGCTTTCTTCAAGTCTTGTCTAAACATTTGTCCTTGCTTCCTGAACATCTTTCCCCTTTCCTCCTGTCCAGGTCCGTTTTCTATAGCATGTCCATGCTGAAAAATGAAAAACCCCATTCTGCCCACTTTCTGCTTTATAGTCCCATAGGACTTCCCTTTCAGATTCCATGGCAACTTCATGTGGGGTAAAATGGCTAACTCTTGGTATGCTTTACAAGACCCTTTATGCTCTGGCATTGAACCTTCTAGCCTTCACCCTGCACAGTTACTACCGCTCTGCTTGGCTATCTCCTCAACCAGCTTCCAACTGAGGCTTCACGCTGCCCCTCACATGCCCTCCCCATCCTGGGCCTCAGATTTATGTTGCTTCCTCTGTGGAGTCTCTTCTGAGCTACTGAAGGGAGGTTATTTGTACCTCAACATGTGCTCAAAAACTTGCTTCTTCGGGGATGCTTGTGTCTAGCACTCAGGAGACTGGGGTATGAGGATTAAATGTTTGAGGACAGCCTCATCGTCATAGACCACTGAAGGCCATCCTGGGTCACATAGTGGGACCCTGTCTTAAAACAACACCACTATACTTGTTTAATTGCATTATAATAACTTGTTTTTATTTCTTTAGCTTTGTCTTATGATAGGTTTTATTAAGTGTTTGAAATCATTATCTAAAGTTTGTTTTTGAGTTTGATCTAATCTGATCTACTTGCAAATTTAATTTTTCACAAACGTACACATTTGATATTTATAGATAATCTCATATCTTGCATGCCTGTGTTTAAATGTCTGTTTATAGTGTTAGCGTGTACTCAGGTCCTTGTGCATAGTAGGCGCTTTATTTCCAATCACTCATTTGGTTCTTTGGATGTAGAGAACAATGCAATATAAATACATACTTGTGGAATAAATAACTGGAAGAGTAAAGGAGAGGGTTTTTTTTTTTATTAACCCTTTGGTTTTTATGCAGAATACCTTTGTAAACAAGAATATATTTCCCACACAGTTTCAGGAAAAATAAACCATAGGGATATTATGGTGAAGTGACCAAGCTGACTTGAAACATGGATTATTTCAGGGAGCATTGAATGATGGGAAGGGAGTTTGCCTAAGATAATTTTAGACCCCAAATATGGAGTTGGGTAATTGATTAGTTATTTTAAGAATTTAATCAGTGTTTTTTAGATGCCTAGCTTTGTGTTATAGGGGAAAGAAAAAAGCCAGTGATTGGCATGGTTTGTACTGGAGGGCTTTAAAATAGGGACAATACCAATAATAAAAGAGTCCTTTATGAGACAGCATATAATTCAATCCTGACTGATTCAAATATGAAGCGATGTTGGCTTTGCCAAAGGGAGCGTTTGTGGGTAGGAGGGGACAACTTGGGCTGGGGAGCCAGCTCTGTCCTCAAATGTGTGCAATGCAAGCATGGGGACCTGAATCCAGTCCCAGAACCCATGTAAAATGCCAGACATGGTAGTCCGTTCTTATAACCCCAGCACTGGGAAGCAAGGTAGATTATTTGTGAGTTCCAGGTTGGTGAGAAACTGTCTCAGAAAATCAGGTGGATGGCTTCTGAAGAGTGACATCTGAACTTGACTTCTGACTTGCAAATACACATACATATGCATGCACTTAAACACGCCCCACCTCCTGAAAGTGTATAACTTATTTCTTAGCTTGATAAAGAAAGGAGTACACAATGTTTTTTTTTATTTTAAAACGTTTGTTTTGGGTAGGATTTTGCAGGGACTTTTCTTTTGTCTTGCAGAAAAAAAAATCAAGGTCATTATGTCTGAGGTGTCTTCAGAGTGATGAGGATGAACTAGCAGAAAGGCGAGGGAGTTCATTTGGGTTCGTTGGGATGGGACGGGCAAATTGTTCTTCCTCAGCCTTATAGACTCCAGCCCAGGCTTTGGGAGTATGACCCACTCACCATTAGCATAGTAGTTACCACCTCTCATAACTAAATTCATCATACAGTTGAACATTTATGAGGTGAGATTACCATGTCACTTTAAAATTTCTTTTGTAAATTATTTGCCAATTCTGTTGTGCCTTACTCTAATTTATGAACCTTAGTGGTTCTGTTTTCAGGCATAGGAAATCCTAAATATGGGGGATAGATCAGCCTCTCTCCTGTAGGGGGCGCTAAGAGAGTAGTAGTTTAGTACTCCTTTGCCACCCAGCACCTTCTGGCATGACTTGGCACAATTGACTTAAAGATTTTGTGCTCTGGTTTGTGTTGGTATTTTATTTTTAAGGGTGTCGTGGGTCCTAAGACCCCAGTAATTCTTCAGGCTCATAACTATGCATTCTATCAGTTTGGTTCAGTAAATGCTACACCTGTGAGATTTTTTTTTTTAACCTCATGTATTTGAGGCATGGTAATTTTAGAGTCCTCATTATGTCTCATTTACATAGGAGAAATGTATGCATATAGACACATTAAACCATTTTCCAAGCATTTGCAACATTAATGATGGTAGCCTAAACTTAGCCATTTATAGGACCTCAGATTATTATTTAATGGGATTGTCACTCAGGACACTTACTGGTTTTCTCTAGTGCTTTTAAAAAACAGAATTGTGCATAATAAGGTGCATCCCTTGATTAAATGTTTTTCTCATGTGCCATCACCATTAGCTGTTTGGCTTCCATTCTCTATGCTTTTGAGCAGCCCTGCATTGCAAATCAATATCTTTCTGGAGAGACAGTGTGCTGTGAATTGCCTGGACAGCGTATGCATGGTTACTTTGGCTGCAATGCTGCTGCAGAGCGCAGTTACTCTGCCTTCCTGGGAACTCCACAGGCAAGTCCATCGTGTTTGGAGGAAAAAAAATAGATTATTTTAGGGGAAAAAAAATGAACTGTTAAAGCTTTTGCTACTGAACATTAGCATGTCCTTTGTGCTCTTCTGATAGCATTTTTTGGTCCTGCTCCTCTGAGATCAGCTTCTCTGAGTGATTTCTGGATTTTCTTCCCCCCTGCTTATGCTTCCCCCTTTCTTGGTTGTAGTACGGCCGTACCATTTCAGCTTGCTAGTGCAGAAAGATGTGAATTCAGTTGCTGTGTGCGGCTGGCCTGGTGCAGACACATTGCTAGAGATATGTTAAAGAGTTCCAGGTGAATCCAGCTTGAGAGAGACAGCAGCAGAACGGTAAGACAGAGCATGCCTGGAATTAGAGCAAGGGCTTTTATTGGGAGCATCTCGGCAAGTCTGAATCCTGACTCACTCATTGACAACTTGAAAAGGATTCATTTTATGCATGTCATTTTACTCACCCCCTTCTATTTAACTGCCCAACCCATCAGAGATTGATAAAGGGTGTTTAAATTCAGGATCTGATGGGGTTACTCAGGGATCTCCGGAGGCTCCTGAGGATATTGCCTGTAGTTTGTAAACACCCGTAGCAGAGATGAGATGAAGAAAATGTTCAGTGACTGCTTCTTTGCCAGAGCTGAGTCTGATTTCTTTGGAAACTAGTCTTTTTTATTGCTTAAAGAGATCTTGCAGATGGTTTGCCTGGTTATGCTCGGCTGAATGCCCTCTGAGTCAAGCAACTGAAGGACGGGAGACCACTTTTCCTCTGGGTAAACTGATGTCTGTGAATTTAGCTGGATTGGATCTGAGTGGAATTGATATGTCTACTGTATTAGAGACTCGGGGCTGCTTCTCTGCCCGTCTCATCCCTCCCCTCCTTGAGCCCTGAACACACCTGGTTTAAGTGTGTGTTGCTGAGTAGAGGTCAGGGAGCTGCCATTTAGCACATTATATCTATAGTGGCTCTGCTTTTCTGCATAGAAGTGATAATTCTCCATTCAGTTCTGCCTCAAGTGCTAGCTCTACTAGTGGGCTGTTAGCGTTGTAGATGCTGATGGAGAACCCCTGCATGCTTGAAAGGCTGGGGTAGTAGACAGGCTACTCCAAAATGAGGCTTGCCTGCTCATGAAGAAGATGAAGAGCAAGGTTGGAATTTGACAAAGAATGAATTTCTATTTGTTTTATTAATTGGGGCATAGTATTAAGTAGTGAGGGGGTTTGAAGTTGAAGGATATATTTTCATATTGTTTACATTGAGACTAATGCATTAGATGAATGTGAATTTGTCTGGGTCCACCTTTTATGTAGGTGCTGAATATTAAGGATGTCGGCATTTGATATTTTGCTTTAAAGTATTTTACTCTGTATGCTTGAACATAGGATTTCTCTTGAAATGTCAATGTTGTAGTCAGTGAATATCTGTTGATCAAACCATCAGTAACTTGCATCTTGGCCAGAAACTAGATTTATATAATTTTGTGATAAAAAAATCTAAGAAAGAATACTTCGTTATTTTATCAGCTTATTGAGAAAAACATTGATGGAATTTAGGACTCGCAATAAGTGATTTATTGGAGGAGGAGCCTCTGTACTAACTAAAATTTAAGTGTAAAACTGGACTTTGATCTCTAGGAAAAAATATTTGGATTTTGTTCAAAGGAGAGTTGGAATTTTCTTATGTTTTGATCACTTATGATTTTCCAAAAGTAAATGGAAACATGAACGGTTATTTTTTTTTTATCTAATTCTATTGAGATGATGCACTGTTTGCTGTTTCTTTTTCTGAGAGTGATATGTTCTAGCTATTTATATTTTTACCTTTGCTTTGTATAAGCTGTGAGGTTTATTTTTTCATCCTATGACAGAAGGAATGGTACATCTGAAAAGAGTAATTTTAAAAAGGGGACTAGTAGAGCAGTAATTCGACATGATTTTACAACCCCACTTCTGTCTTCACCGTGCAAACATTAATTATCTCTAGACTGTGTATAAGACGTTGGGAGACACGCTTGCAGGAAGTAGAGAGGAGATGGAAGAGGCTTCTGGGTAGTAGCATTTCCATTTCCCCCTGCAATCTACATCATTGTGTTCTCTCTCAGAAAGTCACTTTGGAACTTTGCAAAGAGTGTGATGACTGCTGAGGAGCCATTCACCTACAAACATTTGAGCACAGTCTACTCCGTGACTGTGAACGAAACAGGTTAATCTGCTTCCAGTCCTCCTGAAACTTGGAATGTCATTCTAAAATCTGTTTTTAAGGGAAATTCTGTGGGAAATTTTTGTTGGCAATTATGAAAGAGATACTTTCTGTTTCGATTTTTAAAACTGTATTTAAAATGCACATTACACAGAACTCACCAGTTTCACCTTTTTTAGATTTACAGTATGGTGGCATTATTAAGTATATTCAGTATTTTGTAGTAATTACCCCTATCCTGTCCCAGAACTTCCCACCATCCCAAGCAGTTAAATAATAGTTAACATTCTCCCTTCCCTCTACACTTGATAACCTTGATTCTACTTTCTGTGCCTAAGAGTTGGCCTTTGCTAGGTACTGTGTTTCTTGTCAAGGTAAATGACATAGTATTTGCCTTATTTCACTTAGCATGCTTTCACAGTTCACTGATATAGTATCATACATTGGAATTTCATTCTGTGGAGGGTATGCTTTGATTTTAATATGGAAAAGATAGCAGTTTTCCTCCTGAGTATAGGGGTCACTAAATCAAGTTCCCATATGGACACTGTAGTAGATAACTTAGAGCTTCTAAAAATATTAGCCCATGGAGACAGCAAGGAATGGGGACTAGAAACACACCCAGGGAGCCACTGATGCTGAGGTTATTTACGTGCGCCGGTGATTGAGCACAGTACCTGGACTGCTAAGATTTTCTTGTCTATTCTTCGCTGATAAGGGAGTGATGTTCAGCTGGAATATTTATTGTGAAACTGGGTTGTGACTTTTGTCATCATTAACATTAAGATTTCACCTGCTGTGCTTCTCATGCATTGCTCATTCTATTAACAAAACATCACCCAGGTTTCCTATGTACTCTGTGAGCTACCTTCCGCCTCCAATCCTGTTTCTGGTGGACAGTCAACCAGAAACCCCTAGACAACCTCTGCATTAGTCACGAAGAACAGAGGGGGGGTATATGCTTGATACAACAGTAAACAGTTTTCATTAGATAGGCAAGCTTACCTTCATCATTAAAGTTTTTCTTTCTTGCTTCCTTTAAATCCAAGTTAGTTTTCTAATAGTTGATTCTGTTTTAAAAGATCATGTTATGGACCCACCCAGAGCCATCTCTCTGTTTGCCATCAACAGATTTGACAATTTTTGTACTGGATCCCTAGAAATTTTATATCTGCATCTATAACTAACTCACTGCTCAAGGCACCTAAACATATCCAGAGGAGCAATTCACCATAGCAATGTTTATTACCCGAGTCATCCCATCTCTCTAAGTAGCCTTTGTCTAACTCTTCTTGTTTTCTTTGGGGTAGAATCTCATGTTGTCACGCTCACCTTTTCAATATATAGCTGAGGCCTCCTGCCTCTGCTCCCCAAGTGCTGGGATTACAGATGCATGTAACCACACATGGCATCCTGTCCTTAATGATTCTTAATGCATTATTCTCTTCTGTTTTTTTTTTCCCTTTCTGTTATAGCCTGGCTTTTTATATGAGGCAGACTCAGAATTAGATTAATTAAATGAATGTTTACTTGGGTAGTGAGCTGGAAGAGAGGAAGGAAGGGCAGGCCAGAAAACCACATCCCAGTTACTCTGTGTTGCTTTGAATATGCTTTTTCTTTTGTATCAGGAGAGAGGAGGGAAAAAATGGACGGGCAGTATTGCAGGTGAGGCCTGTCCTTTGTTTATGTAGGATGTAGGTTTCCAGGGACATGTGCACAGTGGTCAAGAGCTTCTGCTCTGTAGTTTGGTCCTGCAATCAATCTCCACTCCTATGTTTACTCTCTGCATGGCCTTGGACAGGTTGCTTAGTTCATGTGTGTTTCAGTTTAATTACCTATGAAACTGAGATAATGATGCCCCTCTTGGGACTCTTGTAGAGACTGAGAAATTATGTTAAAGGTAGTTTTCATAGTAACTGTTACAGAAGAGTTACATAATAGCTAGCCATCAACCATTGTCACCTTATCTAGAAACCCTCAGTTTCCATCTCTGTTTTCTAACAACTGCATTTTTAGCAGGTCCCAGATCCTTCTCCAGGTTGCGTCATTAGAGGGCATAGATGAGCATCTCTTAATTTTACAGGATTGAGGAAGATGAACGGAGGTTATGAAGGTTGTTCCATTTTTTCTGCTTATCATCTGCCGGACTTTGGGAGGGTGTGTTCTAAAGATATTCTCTCTGTCCAGTTGACAACTCATTTCAACCAGCAGCCAGTTCCTCACCCAAATGACACCTTGCTGACAACATTGGCAGTGAGGTGCTTCTGGAAGCACTTGGTTTGTTTCAGGCAGCAGACAAACAGCAGGAGATTTACATCCCGCAGCTCTGCTCTGTTCACCTTGGCCAGCTTAGCCAGGAGTCACTGTTGACCCTTCTCTGTTGTGGGAAATGTATACAGAGCAGGTCTTCATGAAGTCAGGGGGCTTTATTATTAAAGGATCACTATCAGATTATTATTGCTGAAATTTTAGCTCTCCACAGTGGATGGACCAATTGTGAAGGCTGCATTGAAAGACACTTCCTTTTTTTTTTTTTTTTTTTTTTTCAAAGACTCATTGTTCCCTGCGTTTCTCTTCAGGAGCTCTGTGTGGTTAGTGACCCACATGTGATTCTCTGAAAATGGTACAAGCTTCAGAAGTCTGTCTTATATTCAGGGATGTCCTATATTTCTCAGAATTCTTTGCTCGGATTTGTATTTTAGATGGATTTTATTGGAAGATAAACATCACACTTTAAACAATGTAACATCACTCTTGGCCGTATTGCTAAGTTATTATCCAAGCACTAATAATGCATTACATTTTTTTTATTAGAAAAGATGTTTGATCCAGGTGAGATGATAGCAATTGTGTTCATTTTCTATATGTTTCAGAATAAGATGGTAGTATGGCATTTTATTCTTCTTCAGGGAAGAATTTTTAAAGCATTTATAATCTTTATTATTACATGTCATTCATATAGTTACCAGGTGAAAAGAATTTAGGTCCATATGGATCAGTCTTATCTCCAGTGGCGTTTTCTTTTCAGTTTCCATTGATTAATGTTATTGTACTTTCTGGATGCTTTATCTTGCATGAGGGACAGAATAGAGCGGTACTTGAGAGGTATACACGTGAAGACAGACCTAGCCTGGCTCAGCACAAACAAGCCAGGGGCGATTCAGTGAAGCTCAGAAGTGAAACAACAGGATTCAAATGGCACCTGGGACTGACCTTTGCACAGCCTTTCTGACAGATGACTGCTTCTGCAGTCTCTTATGATGTCTTTTAAAGAGTGAAATTCAAACAGTAGGCATTCCAGGATGGACACAAAGCCATCCTGGTTATGATATAGCATTGATTTCAATCTCAGCCTGTTTTATTTGCTCTTGGTACTTCTGAAATGGCACACAGTCTTCGTTTTTTAAATTGCTGTGGTTCATGTTAGTCTTCCTGGCCAGGTTACTTCAGTAATGCATAATGGAAGATCTTCTGAAAATATACAGTGACTCCCCCTTCCCTGGCAGGACCAAAGACAGGGCTTAATAAAAAGAAAGGCTGTATATAAACCTGTATATTCTTTAGAGAGGAGAA